CCTAATTAATGTTCAAAGACATAACCCTGTAGGGGACATTCCTTATATAAATCAACACAACAGGTTGAAGCAAAGTGGGCAAACTTCTAGCATAGGCTGCAGATGCTATCTGTAGTTAGCTTTAAGGTGGTGGGAGCCAGTGGTCTGCTAAATTAACACATTCCAAATATTTTACCTGTTACAAAAGGTATCCATTTTTGATACAGGAGGTAATAATTACATGTCCCTTGTGACATTTCATTGAGCTATATAATTTTGATGTTTTTCACATTTTCCTTTTGTTCAAGGAAATGTTTATTACATAAAATATGATGGGAGAAAACGTAAAGGAGGGATTATATAAGGATACTACAAAACACAATGTGATTAAGGGCATGTTAATTCTGCTGGCCATGGTATTGGTGTTATGAATGTAAGCATGGCAGTAAACAAAACTATATGCAAACCATGTCAATTATAAGTCAATAAACTTAAAGAAGATGTATCACATCCTGGTGTTAAATGAAACACATAGTATTCATTGGACAAAAACAATACTAGGTGAAACAGCAAAGAGACTAAAAATTCATTGCCTAATCTCTGGTCTCAATTATTGAGAAAAATAAATATTTTCTTTTTTTTTTTTAAAAAAAAAAAATGATGGAGTTGACAAGATGCTTGGCCAGTAGAGATAAAGGGCTTGACACCAAGGCTGATGACTTCAGTTCGACCCCCAAGACCCACACAATGGAGAGAACTGACTCCTGAATAAAGAAAAAAGAAAAATAAGAATTCCAAAATAAAGAAAAAAATGAAGAGGTATCGAAATTGAATGCATCACAGAGAATACCAGCAATTCCAGGTAACCAGTAATGAAAAATTACAGGCAAATTTATATTATACATTTGAACTCATACCTCACTGTATAGTGGAGACATCCTATGAGATGTGTTCTTAGTGATTCTGACATTTGGCAAACATTACCAAGTAAATTTATACAAACCTCAGTTACAAACAAACAAACAAACAAAAAACAAAAATAAGACTAGATAAACTGAAAAACAAACAAACCTCTGTTATATGTTATAGCCACTATCATATATGAATCTACTGTGAACATGACATCTTGATGTCTATATATTATAAAGCTGTATAGCACGAACTTGGCAATAAGGATGAATAAACAGAACTGTGGATATGAAGATGGGGCCCTTAAAAAAAAAGAAGTCCCTGCCTTTTAGATTCGTAGATGACAGAGACCAGGCTTCACAACAATAGGAAAACACTCCCTTTCCAATGAGAGCCACAGGAACAGTGGAACAAAAATATGGTTACAAGTGTTTGCATACCCTTTCCTCATACCATGTAAGAAATCATTTATAAATATCAATCATTTATAAATCATAAGGCTAAAAGCACATATTCCGAAGGTATTATGAGAAATGGAATGGGAACACAAAAATGTTAAGGAAAACCTCTTTAAATGTACACAAAGCTATAGTTTAAAACCCTGTGATTTAAACTATACTGAAATAATTGTATTCATCAAATAAAGCAAAGGGTAAAAAAATGAAGTGCCTCACATACATCTAATCACTTTTAATAAGGAAGGAAAAGACAGAGAGCTACCCAGAAAAGTAGGAAAGGGGTTTGAAAAGCTGTTTTATACAGTAAGTATGTACATGCTCAATAACCACAAAATGCAGAACATGTGTAGAAATGGGAGAAAAAAAACCATAAAATAACAAAATAGACAAACAGTATTATTGGTGAACACATGGGACAATTGAACACAAACTCAAGATGAAGTGTAAGTCATTATTCCTTTGGAGAAAGTGGCTATGAAAGAGGCAAAATATTTTCTGTTGCAGGTACAAATGTGTGTCGTGATAACACAGGAGACACAGAAATAATAACACAAAGAGCTGAAATCCTGGGAGGTGGGGAGAAGGGGAGATAAATTCAGGCAGTGGTAAATAATTTTGTGGCCTAGGTGACAAGCACATTCACAGTCTTTTATGAGTAGTTAACAATGAAACACAGGCTAAGTTTTGCATAGATAGTATATGCCTGTGATATTTTGCTTGGTCTTAAAATTTGTAAAGGAAATAGGCAGAACTTATGAGAAAATAATTCAGAGAGGCAAATACAAATGACCAAGTTACATGTACCGTTTGTGTTGAAAAATTTATAAACATAACCCCTTTCTCCTAAATTAATTAGTATTATACCATCAGAATTTTAACAGGCTTTTTTTTTTTTTTTTTTTTTTTGTTTGTTTTTTGTTTCCGAGACAGAGTAGGGTTTCTCTGTGTAGCTTTGGAGCCTGTCCTGGAACTAGATCTTGTAGACCAGGCTGGTCTCAAACTCACAGAGATCCACCTGCCCCTGCCTCCCGTGTACTGGGACTAAAGGTGTGTGCTACCACGGCCCGGTTTCAACATGCTTAATTTTTAATAGAAGGAAAAGAACCACAAAACCCTGAAATTTGTGTAGAATGTTCAATGTGTGTGTAAATATATATGTTTGTGTATATTTGTGTATCTACAATATATGTGAAATTAACCTAGAGTAAGAGCAATGATATTGGCCATTATTACATGATACTAGCATATAGTATGTAACTCTACTACTGTACTAACAAACTCCAAGGCATCCCAATGTGAGATCCAGTGATGGATTTATATGGATGTGAGGTTTGTATTAAGAGAAATAGAAAGGCATATATAGCAATCCAATCTTATTAGAACAAACAAACAAACCACTATTACTAGGGAAAAAATTTACAAGAGTAAAAGTTCTAGCATCCAGAACGGGTGTCCAGCCCCTCCTAAGCTCCCCACTCTCATCTCGGCTCACCCCACCCACAAGGCCCACCTCATGGAATGAGATTGAACACATACTAAGTGTCTTGGTTTTAATGAGTTCCATTTCAAGGAATTAATTCTAAATCTCAGAACTCTTGAAGCAGAGGAGACTGGGCCTATGCAAATGGCCATGAATCATAGGAAAAACTAACTTTTTAAGATGGGCACATAAGCATTTTATGGGCCCTCACCTCTCATCATTAATGGAGATTTAAAAGTCACAGACCCCTATTACCCCAGAAGAGTTTTTTTTGAACACTCTTCCAGTGGTGGCTTTATCTGGCTACTCCAAACAGCAGACCTCCTGCAGCTTCCATACAGAATGAATAGTATCAAAACTATGCCAGATGAGAAGTGTTTGAAAAGACACAGACCTGGCAAAAGAGGAATCCTAGTACATTGCTAATGAGAATATAAATTATTCATAGCAGTTTGTGTTCCTCTTCAAAAAAAAAAAAAAAATTAAGCAGAACTACCATGTAATCCAGACATTATAACATTGGTTATGTATTCAAATACCAATCAATTTGTCAAAGAAATGGCACCATTCCCATGTTTGCTGCAGCATTAATCACACTCACAGACCAGATATGGAAAGAACTGAAGTTCCTTTTAGATGACAATATACCAGGATTTTCCTTCCAGTGGCAGGGCATCCAGGTGTTTCCCTGAGAGGCTGCACCCCAACACCTCAGAAAGCCTCCTAGAGGAGGAGAGGACCCAGTACCCTAGAATAAGAGCAGTAAGATTGGCTATCATTACATAACACTAACATGCAGTTTATAACTCCAATACTGTGATAACATAGGCCAAGGTCCTAGGGCTATAGATATCACCCATGGATGGGTGTACATGCTTGACAGGACTGTAGTGTTAAGAGCAACGGAAAGACATATCAACATTACCATATGAAAAGTAGCATGGCTAATTAATAGAAAACACACATACACAACCAGCAGCAAATAAAACAGTGGACCTCTTGGCAGCCTGATGGGACCGTGGCAGTCTCTATGGCCTCTCCCACAGCTCACCCCACATTTCAGGCCTACTCAACGTTACTAATTAATCCAAGAGACCAGAGACTGGAGACTTGACAATTCTAAGAACTTGGTGTCAGGCAGTTCTGAAACCTATCATCTGCAAGAGACATGAGGGCGAGGTGAGGACTCTCACAGTCCCCAAATGGGAAGGGACACAAAGGCATTCTCATAATATGTCCTAGGCAAGAGGGATTTAAAAAAAAAAAAAAATAAAAGTCTTTCTGTTACAAGGACTCAGGCGGTTCTTCCCCTGAAATGTTCACAAACATCCTTGGGACTAGAGAGACTCAGCAGTTAAGAGCAGTTACTGTTCTTCCAGAGGACCTGGGCCTTGATTCCCAACATGCACACGAATCTTCTTCACAACGCCCTCTCTGGCATTACCCTCACTTGGTGCGCGCACGCACACACACACACACACACACACACACACACACGTATGCACGCACGCACGCATGCACGCACAAAGTAATAAAAAAAAATCCATTTCTCTGGTTCCTGGAAGAAAACAAAACATTTTTTTTTTTTGAAAAAAAAAATTGTGTTTGAGATATACCATAAGGAAAACATACCGTGAGGAGCAAATGACAGGCTTTCAGTGTAGCCTTTCTGGGGAGCACCTGTGGGAAACTCAGGGGTGCACAAATGGTGGAAGGGGACTGTGTTATAGTGTTTGAGACTGTGGGCGGGGATGTGGAATTTTAAGAGCACATAATCAGACTTCCTAGGAGCTGGCCTAGGTTCTGGATTTGGTCTGTAAGGACCAGGAACTAGGTGGGTCATGGAGAGGATGAAGGGGCTGGAGATTCTCGGGAACACACATAGCTCCTTTCGTGAAGGAACGTGACACTGAGGGGCTCTCCCCTGATGATCCACCAAGTCCTCGCCACACATGATCGGGGCAAACAGGCAGCCAGCGCAGAGCTGCCCTCCCTGGGAGGGCTCCAGATCGAGCTGCGGTCGCTGCCTTAGGAGCGACAGGACGCCCGGGCTCGGGCAGCCCCGCAGCACAGGGGGACCCAGCGGGGCCGCCCGCCAGGCCTCACCGCAGACCCCGCTCCGCCACAGCGCTTCCCGCTCGCGCGCCACCTCCGGGCGCCACACGCACACTCACCATGTCCACTTCTTGGGGACGCCGGCGCCCTCCTACCATCGCTCTGCACCCACCGCGTCACCGCGCCACCAAAGCTGCGCAGGAGCGGGCAGTAAGCACAGCCCAAAATGGAGGGACCCAGACAAAGGCCGGGCGACAGGCAGAGCCCGCCCCCGCCCTGCGACCGTGTGTCTCATTGGACGTGTCTCAGCCTGCAATCTCTGATTGGACAGGGCTTCCTGCTTGCCCGCTGAGTGACAGTAGTTAGCGCCAACGCAAAGCTGAAGGAGCCCAAGAGGACAGGTTCTCAGATTCAGCTGTTGGGGACTCTGGCTCTAGTCAGGTCTCAGGGCTTGGACTTTAGTCATCTCTGTGGGAGGACTGTCCCTGGGTCCCCTCCGGCTATGGCGTAGGGACTCTGCCCACTGCCAAAAGTTCTGTTGCAGCCTCCTTCAGGTTCTTACACTGTGCCTTTAGCCTACTAGAGCTCTCTCTGGGTCACAGGCCACACTAGCATTTATAAATCAATCAATCAATCAATCAATCAATCAATCAATCAATCAACCAATCACAGTCTACGCTTGCATTTATAAATGAATACATACATATATAAAGTTATAAATTACATATATGTAAATATATACATTCATATTAGATTCTGAGTTATTACTGTATTATTATGTGTATTGGTCATAAATGGGAAAAAGGTATCAGCTTTCAAAATCCTAAATTTTCTGAACTCTGTTCTCATTAGCTTGACCTTCAAAATGGGAAGAGATGTCTAATGTAAAAGTTTTTTTTCTTTTTTTAAGTTCAAAATAAAAGTTAGAAAAGAAACGGGTGAAGCCAATCTTGATGACACATTAGCATTTGCATGGTAAGTGCAGGGAAACTGCAATCTCAAGTCCAGCTTGGCTACAAGATGAGTTTTTATGCCATCCTGGAATACATATGTAGACCATGTCTCAAAATAAATAAATACAACATGTGAAATTGATGGTAAGAACCCAATGGACCTAAACATATCTTTATAATTGGATCAGTGTAAAATTGGTGACTTTCAATTCGAAACTCAGCAAATGTATTTAGGCTCTAGCTTGTCTCAGCTCAGAAGAGCCACAACACCTTTTTGAGAGCTGTGATTCTGCTGACCTCAGGAAGTAGAAGGGCCTGTTATACCGGGGGAGGGAACAGAGGTACCTATCAGTATTTCCCCTAAAGCTCAAGGAGGGGAATTATGGCAGCCTAAAAGAGAACAGAGAACTTTAACCAGAAGTGCTCAAAGTCCAACCACTGCTTCCCAACAGCTGTTGAGGACAGGCCTATTCTTCCAGCGATTGGACAGAGGCAGGCAGGGACTGGGGTACCACAAGAGGAAGAAATGCTAAGTCTTCACATCTATCCACAGCTTTGGTCTGTAGAGTTTAACGAAAGATAGCCTTTTAATTTTGCTATTTGGCCTTGGTCCCTAATGGTCAAGCTATGAGTGTTGCTTACCTCCTATGATGTGGGGTATTGTGTGATTTCTGGAATGATATATATTTCTATACATATTTCTGTGAACTCAGCAACATCTAACAAAAGGGAAGGGAAATCAACATTTATATGGCACCAATTGTTAGCCAAATAACTTGCAAGCAATATATCATTAAGTCCTGGCAAACTGCTTTTCTCAAAAGTTCAGAGAATGATCTGTGGTAGCCATACTTCTGGTTTTGAATAAGTGTGCTTATTGAGTATATATCAAGCAGAAAAAAAAAAAACAAAGGATAAATTACTTGGAGCTGATAGAGAAAAGCAGCAGATAGCAAAACATCATTAAAACAGGAGTTTATAATATCCAGCAGGGACAGCTGCAGGATCCTGAGTAAGAAAGCAAACAGGCTGGAGAAAATGACTTAGGAGCACTTTGAGTTTAGTCCAGAGGACCAGGGTTCCAATCCAGCACCCACACAGGCGGCTCAAGAACATCTTTAACTTAAATTTCAAGGGCTCCTACATCCTCTTCTAGCTCCCAGGGCGCCTGCATGTACATGTATGCATACACTCACACAGACACACAAATGTATACACACAAAATAAAGAAAGAAAGAGGGGGGAGGGAGGCACAGAATAACAACACTAAAAGTTATGAGTGTTTACAAACAGGCAACAGAAGTTGTGGGGGGAGGTATTGAAGCAGTCAGTTGGGGTTCCTGATCAAGATCTTTCTCTCCACAAATGAGCTCCAGCTTCTCTTTCCTACTGCAAGCATTTTTACAGTCACAAATGAAGCATTGTGAAGTTTGTTGGAAATGGTTTACCTTTGAGCAGTTCTGAATTGTGCACTATGCTTAATAATCTAGCATGCGTGCTGTGCATTTTCTCTCTTGTTACAGAGCTAGGGAGCCAGCCTGACTCAGAACAGGGAGTTTTGGAGGAGAAAAGAGAGGGCCTCCTCATTGCCCGTGTCTGCTTTCAATACACTTAAGACAGCACATAATAATTTGCTGAGGTCATTTATTTTACATTCATATCTGTCTATTAAGGCCATGACAAATTAGGTAAGGCTGGATACAAGCACCTTCAAAAGTTGTTAGTTCAAATTTGGGCTGGTTAGCAATCTAAGCTGAAATCCATAGGGCTCTTTCTGCTGGATGCAGTTATCTGATGCCTGGCAATGTGGCAGAAGATGAGTGGATTGCCAACTGCGGTTGATTTTCCTCCATTTTCTTTCTTTCTTTTTTTTTTAAATTTAGTTTATTATTTTACATGTTGATCCCAGGAGGACCTCCCTCCCTCTCCCCTCCCTTTTACCCTCTCTGCCCTCTCACATGCACCCTAATGACCCTCCCATCCCATCCCCCCACCCCAATTCCATATGTAGGGGAATGCCATCCAGTTGGGGTCATGTAGATCTGACAGGTCATTTGAAGTAGGGACTAGGGCTTCTCTCCTGTCTCTAGGTTAAGGCAGTTATCCCTCCATGGGGGATGTGTTGTGCACCAGGGATACATCCTGGCTCCACTGTCTGAGGTCCCTTAGACTGCTCAGTCCTTCTGGCTGAGACCCATATTCAGGGGGGCCTGAGTCAGTCCCATGCTGGATTCCCAGCTGTCAGTCTGATGGCCCATTAGCTCCTTGAAACATCTTAATGAAGATAAATGACAAGTCATCCAATAAAATAGGTCCCATGAGGTGTGCGGAGGCCTCTCAAAGGTAGGGGGAATGTTCTGTTCTTGTTCTTACAAAAAAAAAAAAAAAAAAAAAAACAGAGAAAACCTATCATCAAACAGCCAAAAAACACTGAACCTGTAGGTACCTACAGAAGAGAAGATAGCTCTTCAGAAACAATCACTTAAGAAAACAGAATCTGATATATGGTAAAAAAAAAATATTTAATTGTAATAAACTATGTCTATACAGAAATCTATTTCTCTCTACTATCTAGTATTCCTGAAGTCCCAATTTATGTAAACCAATGCTGGCTTTGGAGTTGGATTTGGCTTTCCTTCTCTAAATTCAAGCATGTTGTTAAGATTAAATTCATGGTTTCTGCCTTAAATCAATAAGCCAATTGGTGTAAGGCAGAAGAAAACAAAATCTGGAGACTCATTTCTTATATGCAATTTTCTCTCTGAAATCCTAATTTTCTCACATACTTTTAATGCTTATTGTTGTCTTTCCCTAATGCATACCTTAAAACTTAAAAATTTTACTTTAAGATTGATGTATAACTTTTCCACAAGGAATAATAACAATTCCTAACAGCAGTCTTTAAACTCTCCAGAAAGAAGATGGGGCCCCACATCATCGTTTCCACTTGACTCAACCTAATGCATCTGAACTACAAACATCACCCTAAAACTGGTTTGAGACTGTTTTGCTTGAGACAACTCATGGCTAGGTAGCTGTAATGGTGCACCTTTTTATTACACCCTGGCCAGAGTTTTAAATAGAACTAGAGTCAAGAATTTTCTGCCACACAGTGACTAGTTACATATGTCACAGCCAGTTCTGTTGAGAAATTTGGTTGCTAAAAATTTTCTTCCTACAAGATCCATTGGAGCAATCATCGTCCCATTTCAGCAGGAAGTAACCTTAAGATAACGACGCCCCCTTTCCCTACCCTTGGAATTTTGGGATAATAGTCATCGTCTTTAGGTTGGTTTTAATTATTTAGGGTTGGGTATGGAAGGTGATGCTTACACTCGGGTTTATCTTTTAGACAGGAATAGGGAATGGTTGGGAAAGGTATGGTTTAGATGGGATATAGGTAGATTAGCCTATTTTCTTGTGAATTTGAGTAAGGATGAGATAGTATTTTACAACTTACATTGTTATGTATTCTTATATGTGGTAAGCTATGTAAAATTAAGTTTATATTTTGTTATATTGTGTGAAATCTTTCCACTTATGATGTTTTATGCACATTATTTTTACCATATTCTATGTATGTATACTTTTCTTGTATTCAAGACATTTGTATATTGATACAATTTGGGATATTTATCATACTGCCCTTTATAGTTCTACCTCTTGTCTTGACATTTCTACTCTACCTCTATTTTAGGGATTTATATGTATGTATATGGTTTTATTGTTTAAGTATTTGTTCCTGCTTTACTCAGGGAAGTTTTAATCAGTCTTTTAGCTAAGTTCCTGAGTATTACAGATTATCTTCGCTCATATTCCCTGTACCTATGAGATTAGTTAGATGGGGGGGGGGGGGGGGGGGGGGGGGGGGGCGGGCCCCCGCCCCCCCCCCCCCCGCCCCCCCCCCCCCCCCCCCCCCGGGGGGGGGGGGGGGGGGGGGGGGGGGGGGGGGGGGGGGGGGGGGGGGGGGGGGGGGGGGCCCCCGGAGGGCGGCCCCCCCCCCCCCGGGGCGGCCGCCGCCGGCGGGGGGGCCCCCCCTATAGATGCTTAATCTTCAATCACTTCATAGACATGCAGAACATGGCATTTAAATGTTTTAATATTAGTACTCCATTGACATGAGACACTGTTGCTCCTGACAGCACCGAGCACTTTCCCGAAAATATGTTGGACACTGTTGTTGCTCCTGCTGGAGTTCATTTTCGCCTCAGCTAATGGCCTGTTGGGCAAAGAATTGCCCCCACCTTGACCACTGATTTGGACATGTGGTCCTATGTGCTTACAGGAGACAAATATAGAAGACTGCTTGACCTTGCCAAGTCAGGGTAAGACAGCCATTCTACCTCTCTGCTATTGTTGTGGTCTGTCAAGTTCTCTTGGCCTTAGCCAAAACTGGGTGTACCAACGTTGCTGTGAGACCTTGGGTGACTGTCCAGGTGGCTTGCTGTTTCTGTCCTTGCTGCACCTTTTGGAAGTTGTCCATCCGCACTTCCTGTCTACTCTAGTATTGTTATTTTCCTTCTCAGGTCTTGATGAGGTTGAAGATTAAACTATTACAACTATTATTCTCTCTTCCTAGTTAGATATATTAGGTACTAGACTTAAGTTTTCCAGCTTAGGACAACTCTATTGTAAACTCCATTATGCCTTCATCCTAGGACTAGATGTAGGTCATTTTGTTCTCGATTTTCCTTTTCTTAGAGCACACTTGTTATTCACTGTTTTGTATATAGTTTTGTATTAAGCCTAAATCTTTTCTTTAGATTAAAAGGGAATTGTAGTGAGATAGTCCTTCTGTGGCACTGACCACGCCCATTGGGGGGTGGAGCCATGGGCGGAAGTGACCTGTGGAAGGAGTTCGGAGAGAGAGCCTGGAAAAGCTCTCTTGCTGGTGTGACTCGGACAGGAGAGGATCGGGTTGAATTTCCTGGTGTTCTTCTGTCTAGGCTGTAAGTTATTTCTCCCTGAATAAACAGCTATTTGGCCTATTTGTTTATTCTGATCCTTATTTAACCGCCATAGGTAATCTGTTTGCTACTTGTGCAGTAACTCTGGCGGTTGTATTCATAGCACCCATGCAAAAAGCCTTGCATCATCCCAGCAAGGATGTGGAGGTGGAGACAGAAGAATTCCAAGCTCAGTGAGAGATCCTGTTTGTCTTGGTCAGTGTTCTGTGGCTGTGATGAGACAATATGACCATGGCAACTCATAAAATAAAGCATTTAATTGGGGATGGCTTACGGTTTCAGAAGGTGAGTTCTCTATTAGCACAATGGGAAGATTGGTGGCATGCCGCCCACACCGTGCTAGAAAGGCAGCAGAGATTTCTACATCCAGATGCACAGGCGGCAGGAAGAGAGATCTGCTAGGCCTCACTTGAGCTTTTGAAACCCCAAAGTCCGTTCCCAGTGTTAAACTTCCTCCAATTAGGCTATACCTACTCTGACAAGGCCATATCTCCTAATCCCTCTCAAGTAGCACCAATCCCTAATGGCCAGGCATTCAATATATGAACCTATGGAGGTCATTCCTCTTCAAATCACCACATTGAAAAAAAAAAAAAAAGAAAGAAAAAGAAAAGAAAAAGGTGGAGAATGATAGAGGAATCAACCTTTAGCTTTCCCATGTATTTACAGGCAAGAATACCTACACAATACAAGTGGTGTGTGTGTGTGTGTGTGTGTGTGTGTGTGTGTGTGTGTGTGTGTGCATTCCCTTCACATTCAAAAGCCTCAACTGTTAAACAATTAGACTCAGGATGGACCCTGCCTGACTCCAAAATCCAAACAGCTTCATTCGAACATATGACTTATATACTTCCTTTTGTCCTTTCAGATCTTCAATATGCTTCCTTAGTTGACATTATCTCCAAATTTTCAATATGTTTACTTTTAAACCATTTATTTGTTTTACGTATTTTAATTAGTCTGTGTCCATATATATGTTTGTATTTGTGGAGGTGAGAAGAAGGGTGTTGTTCTTTGTTTGTTTTGTTTTGTTTTTCTTGAGACAGGGTCTCTCTATTAGCCCAGCATAGACCAGGCTGGCCTTGAACTCACGGAGATCAGCTTGCCTCTGCCTCCTGAGTGCTGGGATCAAAAGATGTGCACCACTGGGCCTGCCTCAGAAGAAAGCATTGGATCCCCTGGAAGGAGAGTTTGGGGCAGTTGTGAGCTGGCTGGTGTGGGTGCTGGCAACCAAACCCTGGTCCTCTGTAAGAGCAGCCAGTGCTCTTAACTGCTGAGCCATCTCTCTAGCTCCTGCAGATTTCTTAAAATAACAGGAAAATATTTGCTGTTACTTTGTGGCTTTCCAGTTTTAACTGCTTACTTAGTTTCAACCCTTTGCTATTATCTTGTTTCTGGTTGAACTCAGTTCCTCAAGTACCCACTGTACACACAGATTTGTTAATTGGTGATTGTTGACTGAGAACTTGGCTGAAAAAAAGAAAAAAGTCATACTGTGCTGATATTTTGTGATCTAAATCACCAAAGCTTGCTCGAACATCAGTGTGCGTGTAGAGCGAAGCCACTTTAAAAAGCGTGTGTGTGTGTGTGTTTAGGGAGGCACTAGTGAGCTGGCTCAGTCGGTAAAGGCATATGGTAGGAGGGCACCAGCGTCCTAGCGAGTGTGCCTGTGGTGCCCAGAGGCGGTGTGGAGTGGGAAGTGCTGTGGTGGTCCAATATCCAGGACCCACATGATAAAAGGAAAGAATCAACTCCCACAAGTTGTTCTGTGAACTCTATATATGCACACCAGGGCACATTGGCACCCATATGCACATATACAGTCACCCCCCCAAAATTAGCTACCAGGTAGTTTCTGAGGGACACTTGATAGGGACATAATAAAGTAAAAATCCACAGGGATATAAGAAAGGCAGGGCATCTTTAAACAAATTTAAGTCTTGCTAGGCTGTCCTTGGCCATGTCTGGGAAAAGCAATGAGACCTGCCCAAGATCATATACATTTACCCTTTAAGCATAACCTATATTCAATTCCCTTTAGCAAACCCTGTGACCTAGCCTACTTGTCAAAAGTCATGAGGGCAGACATTGTAACATAGCAATCTTTGCTTATATGTGTGTGTGTGTGTGTGTGTGTGTGTGTGTGTGTGTGTGTGTGTGTGTGTGTGTGTGTGTAACCTGGTTCTCTTAAAACATCAGCTACAGGGCCTATAATCTAAGATATTTATGAAAAATTGACATCTTATTTCTATTGTGACTAGGATGTGTATGCACACATATAATTCATAAGCTTGTATGATATTTGATTTATAAGTTAAGTCGCAAACGTCCAATTATAGCAATACATTGTGCTTCATAAGAAGCCCTCCCTGCCTTAAAATTAGCGGCAGCCAAGAACTTGTCATTCTGGGTTCCTTCGGCCCAGAATTGGCGCTTACGACTGTCACTCAAGGAGCAGGTCCTGAAATTCTATCCAATCGGAGGCCGTGGCTTGAGACACGTCCAATCAGACACACAGTCGGAGGGCGGGGGCGGGCTTGGGCGGTCGCCCGGCCTTTGTCTGGGAGCCGCCATCTTGGGCTTGGTGTCAGCTGCCCGGGAAGCTCCTGCGCAGCTTTGGTGGCGCGGTGACGCGGTGGGTGCAGAGCGATGGTAGGAGGGCGCCGGCGTCCCCAAGAAGTGGACATGGTGAGTGTGCGTGTGGCGCCCGGAGGTGGCGCGCGAGCGGGAAGCGCTGTGGCGGAGCGGGGTCTGCGGTGAGGCCTGGCGGGCGGCCCCGCTGGGTCCCCCTGTGCTGCGGGGCTGCCCGAGCCCGGGCGTCCTGTCGCTCCTGAGGCAGCGACCGCAGCTCGATCCGGAGCCCTCCCAGGGAGGGCAGCTCTGCGTTGGCTGCCTCGTTCCTGCAGGCTGTCTTCTTCCTCTTTGGGGTTTTTCCTGGAGAGGAGGTGTCGCCCACCGATGCTTTGTCCCTCCTCCCTTTCTGTGACCCCGCCTGTTTCCTCTAATTCTCCCTAATGTTTGAGCGTTGGAGTCCCAAATCCACAGAGTCCTGATCGCCAGCCCTGTTTTCCATGTGAGCACTTCACCCAAATTTACCTCTTTGCCCCTGTTCTCAAACACCAACTTCCAGTTTCCGTTTTGTTAACTGTTCCTCATTGTACATTTCAAATATGCAATATTGTATGATTTAGTTTTTTAATTTCAGAGTACTTGAGAAAAATAATCTCTCAAAGTCTTTAAAAAGATTTTCTGTGAATATAACACAGAAAGAGGAAAACAAGTCATTTGACTTCTGAACGTTGCAAAAACGTCATTGAGTTTTACATGAACGCTTTGTGAATGTGTTTTAGCATGCATGCTACATCAACAAAAAGTAATACTTGTTAATGATTTGCATACCTAAGTATCTGAGAATAACAGTAGAACTTAATTTTGCTTTGATGTTGGCCGTGTTCACACATGTTCTCATTAGGTCACTTGTAGTATTTATGTTCTCACTCTTGGGCGATCCCTAAGAACTGTCAGTTTTCCTTTGAATTTAGTGAGTGGCATGGCTTTTGTTTTTGGATGACACTTTCCCTCACATAGTGCTCACCTTATAATAATGGTCACTGCAGCCAGGAGAAAATGAAAGTGTTCCATATCTTATGCACAGTTGGACATATGCAGGGTTGGGTTCAAGTCATGAGCAAAGTAATTATTAAGATGAGCAAATGATACTGATTAGGTAAATTTACTTTATGTATGTGTATGTATCTGTGTAAGTGTATACTATTAACAGGTACATGTTTCAGAGGGTAGAAGAGGCCTTGGATATCCTGGAGGTGGGATACAAGTTGTTGTGGCTGTCTGACATCAATGCTGGGAATGGAATTTGGGTCCTCTGGAAGACCAGCAAGTATTCTAAAGTGCTGAGCCATCTCTCTAGCCCCAAGATTTGTATGTTACCTCAAAACGAACTTACACACAGAAGATGATGTTTGTTTAAAGAGCAATGGGTTGGACCCTCCCCTCACTTTGCATACTACTGGAAAGCATTAAAGAGTATTGATTTCTAGGTGGGCCAGTATAGCAATTCTAGTTTCATTGGCCCATTGCAACTTGAATTTTGAAGATTTTAAGTCTTTCTGGGAGTTAGGAATGGGAGTTCAGGGTTCTAGAAACATTCTCAGGGTGCTCTGTGTATTTGCTTCATTGCAGCATCAGTTTTAAGTGTTTGAAAACATCTTTGCCTAGCAAAAAATCAAAGAACAAATTCAGGATATTTAGTTGTGTCTTTCTCCAAATTCCAACAAGAGGAAATGCTTTCTCTTAGATCTTCAGGCTATTTTCACAGTAAGACATTCCAGGCACAGTATTTTTTTTTTTTTAAATCTATACAAGAAATCATAAATTACTTGCAAGTACCAAAAGTGGTAGAAATGATTGGCATGCCTGTGGGATGTATTATATACATTTTCAAATATCTGGTATGATGAGAAATCAGAAATATACTGTTGCTCCTTGATTTTTTTTGAGTTCTGCTACTAGAATAAGCATTATGTAGGACTGGAAAGGATAAAGTCAGTTACATGAGTCATGTTGTCTAGTGGTAGTAGATGGCCTTTGTAATCAGGCTGAATTCATCGACTTGTGTGTGTGTGTGTGTGTGTGTGTGTGTGTGTGTGTGTGTGTGTAGGAATATTTTTTAGGACTAGAGAGATAGAGCCATTAAAGGGTACATTCACAACCAAAGCATACAACAGTATTTTTTTTTTATTGATTCTTCAACAGTTTCATACATGTAGTTTCATACATGTGTACAATGTGTCTTAATCATATTACCTTTGCTTCTTTCAGGCACCTTCAATAGGCCCTCCTGCCACCTTCATGTTCTCCTTTTTCCTGTAACTCAGAGTCCAGTTAGTTAGGACAGCTGCTTAATACTTGTTGGGAGACATTCCTTGAGTTGGAACAGGGGCAGAAATTTCATCTGCAGGGAGAGGCTGAATGATACAGTGTCAGAATGTCAGCAAGTCACCATTAGTTCCCTGGGTCCAGAACTAGGACAGGCCATTGAAAAGGAGCTCCATTTCCTTAACCTTGAATCCAGAGTCGCCCATTTGGCACATAACCCATGAAGCTGTGAATAGGAAAGTGTATTAGTTTGGTACCTACACTGCAAAGGTCTTGGATACATTCACACTTTCTTTCAGATCCTTCTTATCTCTGTGAGAGGAAGGCCACAGTAGGCACTGGAGGATGAGATAAAGGAGGAGAATCAAGATGCTCCATTTGACAGTCAGGCCACTCTCTGAAGCTCAGCTGCCTCTTCAACCACCAGGTAGGTGCACAGACTGAAAGAACCCACCTGATCCTAGCCTAAATTACTGACCAGCCCAATCATACTGTATTTAAAAACATTTTAGGGCTTATTATCTAGTGTAGATAATTCTCACCCCCTATGATAGAATGGATTCCAAAATTTAATGACACCTTGCTTATATTGGCAAAACAATGGGTACTTTATAAGTACCGATTTCCTGTAACTGAAAGATGCTGTTAGGTCACACAGAAATACATGTAGATATGTATACATATGATTGGTGTTTCAACTCACAGTACCGGTAATGCTGGCTTTATTCATTCATGGGTTGGTGACTCTACTGTTACTTAGGGCCCTAAGGGCAGTCTCTCCTGCACAACTGAAGGCACTGGGTTAAGGATGGACAGTAGGGGGCAGGCTTTCCCAGTCTTGCTAGGATCTGAAGCTCGCCATCTTGGGATGCGTCCCTAGGCTCAGTCTCCTCTACTCTGGAGGTCTAGGTGGCTGTGCTGTAGACTCTGTTGCCCTGTGACGTGCTGGTGCGGGGAGTTCCATAGGGAGGACACTCGATGCCCTGGAAGCCAGAAATGGTGAGTGTGTGGGCCAGCATCTTGAACCAGGGACTATAATTGATGGGAATTATTTGTGACTCTGGAGTTAACATGCTGGAACCCCGTACTGGGTCTCTGGGCCCCAGGTACCCTCTTTCTGTGGGGTGGGTGATGGGCTGGTACTTGGGACCCAGGTGGCATGTCTCATTCCTGCAAAGTGACTTCAGCTCCTATTGGAGCTCTCTCTGTTCCTTTAGTTCCCTACCAACTATAGGGGAGTAGGCGGGGCCATTAGTGGGCACCGGGTGCATTGTATTCTATTCTCAGATGATTAAAACTTTTTTATGATAATTTTTAAAATTTAAATTTGAAACAACCTTGTTTTACATGTCAGTCCCAGTTTCCTCGCTCTCCCTGATTAAAACATTTTTAAAACTATCATGAGTTTGACTGTTAACATAATTGATACAACTTTAAAAAATTATTTCACAATTTCATACATGTGTATAGTATACTTTGATCAATCCCCCATTATCCTTTTATCACCACCCCCTGAATACTTCTTTCCAACAAGCCTTTCTTTTCCTTTTTTGTGTTTTATTGGCACTCTGCATTTAAGTAGGGGTGCTGGCCTGAGTGTGGGTAGGGGATTATTGGCTGCAAAGGCTCTTGAATCAGTGGGAACACCACTAAGGAATACTCAACATTCATACTCCTTAAGGAATGATGGGGCCTTACGAGTGCTGCTCCATCCATGGTGGACGTGATGGGCCACTTCTTGTGTAGGTAGCCACTGCCAGTCTGTTTCCCCCAAGACTACTTAGCTTACCTTGTAGATATGTCTTTGGCCCCTTTTCTCTCTGGGTTGCTTGAGCTGAGGCCACTGGCCCTGTCTACTTCTCACTGCCTTGTCTTTCTCATTGTATTTCAACTTACGCTCTCCTCTTTTGTGTTTCTCAGTGTTCTTCCCCTCTGTTAGAATAAAGTCTGTATTTGTTACCCTAACCGCTTTTAGAGTCACCTGTAGACAGTTTCTAGTCCTCTATCTGGCCCCCAAGAAGTCCCCATTTCCAGTCAACGTTAGTCTTTTTTACTTGACCTTTTTTTGTTTTTAATTATAGGATTAAAAATAAAAGTGTGTTAAACTTGGAACTTAACACATGCTAGCTGACTGCAATGGAAATGAGCTACATTCCTAGCTCACAGAGCATTTTTTTTTTCTTTTTATTTCCTGCCTGCACTAGAGTAGGCAACTTTTAAACTATTTTAAAGCATAAAAGATGAGATGGAAACATGTCTAAGTTTTAGTATTGCATGTTCTCAGATGTCTACTGGGCCTTTGCTTCCTTTACTGCTTATAAACTGGCATGTGTGTACTGCCCATTCATAACTATATACTTTGGCCAAATGCAGTGGATGGTACCTGAAATAGACTGTTGTCATTTATGTTTTAAGTCCCTGTGGTAAGCACATGACATGCTAAGCAACACTTAAATCAGTCATTGTCCTAAATAAGTAAAATGTAGCTTAAGTTAGACCACTGGTAGGGGTTAAGTGTCATTTTTATATTATTTGTTCAGTTTTAGGTAGTATCTAAGACAGTGTATAACACTGCTGTTATTTCTGGTGATGTTTGTTTTGGTGATTAATTTTCCAGAAAGATCCGAAGCAAATTTTTATTTCCTACTCTTACTAACCTGTCCATCAAGAGCATAAGAGTGTTTGCTTCTCTGACTCAGAGTTCCAGAGGAAGAAGATTTTTTAAAAAAACTGTATGTTACATTCTTATCCCTCACGGCAAAGGGAAAATGTGAACTCGTGGGTGACACCTCTGACTTCCCCTTAGAAGACTGTGTGTCCCTTACATGTGACTCCTCTGGCTTCTTCTCAGAAGACTGTATATCCTCCCTTGCATTCACAGTGCAGAGGAAGCCCAGACAGCAAAGGGAAGTTTCAAGTTGGCTTATGTGAATGTTGCGTTTCTTCAATATTTTACACAGAAAAAGGCATGGCAATCAGGGCTATGGATGAAGTGTTGATTCTTTCCCCAGAATTTCTCTTTTGAAGCCTATATCCAAATCCACATGTGGACTGTATCTGAAGACAGGGCTTAGAAGAGGTAATTATCATTAAATGAAGAAATGTATATGGGGTGCTAACACCATACAGCCATACAGCTGAACTTCCCTATCCAAAAGAGGGACAAGGTCTGGGTGCTAGCACAGTGTGAGAGCAATTGTCTACTGTGCTCAAAGCTATGATTTGAGCCCCAGAAAAAAAATTAAAAGAGGAAGGGAGAATTATATTTGCTTTGTCTGATTAATTTGTCACCTGGTCACTTGGATGTCAGGAAGGGAGATCTTTTTTTTTTTTTTAAATAAATACATGAGCTTTTTACTTTTAAATTATTATTACTATTATTATCATCGTCCTTATTCTGTTTTTTCCAGACCTAGATTTCCTCTGTTCCTTTGGAGACTGTCCTAGAACACTCTTTGAAATCAGGCTGGCTTAGAACTCATAGGGATCCATTTGTGTTTACCCCTCTAGTGTTAGTGTTGATAGGATTGAAGGCCTGAGTCACCAATGCCTAGTCTGTTCTTTTTTTTTCCTTTTCCTTGATCTGTAAACTCACATTTCTTCTCTCTTATTTTCTTTCTTTTATTATTATTATTATTATTTTTTAATTTTACATGTCAATCCCAGTTCTCTCTTCCTCCCTCCCTCCATCTTATCCTCTCCCCCCTCACATGCACCCTGATCACCCTCCCCTCCCATCCCCCCACAGGAAGGGAGATCTTATTAGGAACTGAACCACCAGCAACCTTGACTATTGACTTAACTTACACAACTGTGAAAAAATTTGTCTTTCTCTCATTCTATATAAGTGTTTGTCCAATCCATGGCAACTAATACAGGAATTTAACCTACACTACTTTTTTTTTTTTTTTTTTTTTTTTTTGTGGCAAGTATGTGGAGATCAGAGGACAACTTTTGAGAGTTTTTTTGAACCCAGGTCATCAGATTTCCTAATGGGCATCTTTACCATCTACCTATCTTGCCTGTGTGTGTGTGTGTGTGTGTATATATTATAACAACATTGGAATAAGCTGTTTTACATCTAAGAAGAAAATTTACTGACCTAAGGAAAATTAATGATATTGTGATATAGACTTCATTCATTTATTATTGTGATACATAATTTTATGCCCATGAATGTAGTATTTGTTTTTTTTTCTTTTTATAACCTCATTTTGTTTTATTATCTGAGAAGTTGGTATATTTTTTTGTTGCTACAGTAGGTACCTTTAATTTGATACTTTGTTATTGTCTGAACATATTGTGTGAAGATTTTCTGTGATGACTAATCTTGCTTGTCAGCTTGACATACCTGGAAAGAGAAAACTTTAATTGAACAGTTGAACAATTCATTAGATTGGCCAGTTATCATGTCTGTTGGGAATTTTCTTGATTGCTGATTGAGGTAGGGGGTCCCAGCTCACTGTGGGTGGTGCCATCATGGGCAGGTGGACCTGGGCTGTAGAACATATAAGAAAGGCAGCTGAGTAAGCTCAAGGGAGAGAACCAGTAAGCTGCATTCCTCTGTGGTTCCCTCTTAAGCTCTTGACTTGACATTCCTTGATGATGGGCTCTATTTGACCTGAAAAATGTAATACATTTTTCTCCCAAAGTTGCTTTTGGTCAGTGTTTTATTAAAGCATAGAAAGCAGTTGAAGCAGTTTCCTGTGCTATTTATTTAGACATTACTGTGTGTTGAAACTAGGGCTCTGTGTATTAGGAAAGCCCTCTACCACTGACCTATATCCCCAGCCCTTATGTCACTGTGTAGTGTGTTTAATGAAACCTCCTTTTTGGAATAATGTTTGGGAATTCTCTTAGGATTTAGGTATATGTTGTAAAGATGGTGCTTTTTCTTGTGTTTTGTTAGATTTTCCAGTACCCATCATAGAGTGAACAAAGTTTACCCTTTCGTTGTATGAATATTTCTTGGGAAGACTCACATTTCCATTCATGTAGGTAAAGCACCAATGACAAGTGAAAGAAACTATTCTATTCAAGTCCTGGTCAACCAGTGAGCTTAGTTAAGGTTACTTAATAGGTGCTTGGGTAATTATTAAACAGTTACTTCATTAAAGAGAATGTTTCTCTGCTGTCTATAAATCTTTGAGAATAGTTGGTGCCTTAAGAACTCTTCTTGTAACCATCAACTATAAATCAGAGGTCAGAGTTAGTAATATAGATGGTCAATTGTTATCTTGGTTCATGTAATTTACATATTTTATATCACCCCATGTCTTTTTTTAAAAATAACTTTTGATTTTATGTGGACCCGAGCAGTTTTTTGTTTTTTTTTGTTTTTGTTTTTGATTTAGTAAGAAAATACAAGGATGGCCATAACTGCAATTATTATTTTTTTTTAAAGCAGGTTAGTTTTTAAAATTTTTATATATCTGGGTATATGGTTATTTTCCTCTGAATTGGAATTCTAGATGATTGTGACCCACCATGTGGATGCTGGGAATTAAATTTGGGTCCACTGGAAGAACAGTCATTTCTCCATCCTCTGAAAAATTATTTATGTAATGGACTACAAATCCATGAAATTACATTAAATTGTTAGAAGTACTTAAATGCAAAATCATTGGATAATTAATGATTTGAACATTTACTGGTATTATCACTCATCACAACATGAAATTATTCAGACACAGTATTCTTTATGGTTCTGTTAGCCTATCTTGTGTCATTTGTGCTGTCATAACTTGACTCCTGTTGCTTTATATTCATGAGAACACATCCATGTAAACATTTAGGAGTTCTGTCTTATGTCAGTAGCAAATGTTTTCTATTTCATCGTCCTGTTATATATAGAACATTAACTTTTTTGTACACATCAACAATGTGTTTATACTTGTGTCTTTGGACTATATTAGGTACTTTCCTGAGAATTTTATTAATCCTGTTCTTCCTAGTAATAAGGATTGTTCAGCATCTATAAGGGAAACTGGATAATTTCATTTTCTTGAACTATATTAAATTCATGTATAGGTAAGATATTACTTTCTCCCATGATAAAAAATACAAATCAAGTTTTGTGTTATGTAAGACAGGTATCCATCCACATAGAAGGATGAGCTCCCAGGCTGAGGAGAAATGTGTCATTACAGGGGTTGGTGTCATTTGAGGATATAGCTGTGGAATTCACCTGGCAGGAATGGCAGGACCTGAATGAAGGTCAGAGAACCCTCTACAGGGATGTGATGCTGGAGAACTACAACAACTTGTTGTTCTTGGGTGAGTTAAGAACGGAATGTGAACTCTCTGTTCAAACTTAGTGGCTCCATCATTGGATGTCTCTTCAAATGAAGATCTTTTTCTCTCTCTCTCTCTCTCTGTCTGACTTAGCAGTTTAACATTTTCCATTTACAGGGCACTGCAAGACCAAACCTAAGTTGATCTTCAATTTGGAGCAAAGACTTGAGTCATGGATTGTAGGAGAAGCCTCAGAGCAGAGCATCCCAGGTACATCTGTGCATACTAGTTAAGGATTAGAATGATGAGAACTTATCAGATACGGTCACCAAATTTAACCCCATCCCAGTCCTAAAGATGGCTAATCTTATATATTAGACATTTGTCTAATGCACTCTCTAAAGAAGACTGTTTTTGTTGAAATATACTTTTAGATTCATTATAAATCCATTCCGTATATTGATCTTGGAGAAAGAACATACATAGTATTAATTTAGGAAATGTCTAATAAACTGAGTTGTAAGGGAATAACTATGCATTTATTTTATTGAGGTAATTTAACTATGAGGTGATTATTTTCTAATTTTGCTACATAATATTTAGGTGGCTATATACCAAAACATGATAATAGGCATGAGTATTAAGAACAGATACAAATTAATAAATGAGTAACTTAAGTCTAGTATTTAATCACAGTCATTTTGGCATTTGAGAGAATCATCAGAGTGTTCCAGATTAAAGCAGTAGATTAAAAGTACCTTATGATTTTCTGAATAAAGATAGGATAACAAAGGAGAAAATATCTGAAGTCTTCACACACACACGCACACACGCACCACACCACACCACACCATGAGGAAGCAGCCTATAACTATCTCCTTGTGCAGGGGAAACCCAAAAGCCATAAGCATAAGGGAAACCTGGAGCATGTACACAGCCTTAGGGATAACTAGACACAGGAGAAACCCACAGGTTTTTGAAGGCTTAAATCCATTTGAGCATTCCGTGTCTGAAAGTAACTTCATAACAGACTAGCACTGGAGAAGAAACCAGTTATATTGCTCCCTTCACCTTGAAGTGCTATATACCTAGACTCCAGCTTGAGAGAGGCACTTGAGAGGGCACTCATTCAGTTTTTGAGTCTGAGCTATACTGTAGACATGAAATCAAATAATCATAAGGCACAGAGGATATAGACGCACTATCTCCATTATTAATTTAGTAAACCAGAAGACCTTTAAAGATAAAGATTTAATGTGTAACTTCCAATAAGAATCCTAAATATAAATGTTTTTAACTTTAAAGCAAATGCCCAGAATGGAATAAAAACTAAGATCTTGTTTTCTATGTATGCTCATCTCACTGGCAGAGGTATGTAAGGATTTAAGATGTGAACAGTGTTTCTTGAAACAGTGTAAAAGGACTCATCAGTAGCTGTACTTACACGAGTAAGCCAACTTAATGCTGAATTAGCTTAGAAGGCATAAAGAAATTTACTGAATATTCATAAAGGAACCAATCCATTAAAATATAATTATTCCAGATGATTATACACTGCATATTGGTGTGCTGAATTCCATAAAAATATTTTTAAAAACAAAGAAAGACAGAAGTTCTGGATAGAGCAGTAGTGAGTGACTAGCATTCTAGGAGTGGATATTGTACCAATAAATAACAAAGAAATCTGAACTAGACAACATCCATTTTCATGAGTGAAATACATACTGTAGTTGAGTGACTAAAATAGTCTACTATCTTAAATAGGTAGCAGATGAACAAAATTAAACAGAGCAACCTCATCATTAACAGTGTGCATTAGTCACACTAAAGAAACATCTGTAGTATATACTATTCCTGTGGCTGTGAAATATACATCTGAGCTGTCTCTAAATCAAATCAAATTTGAGATCATAAAGCAAGCCCTAGTGAATAGATATCATTGGAAATGATCTCTTGTATCTTTTAAAAATCAAAACTGAGAATACTAAAAATCATAGCCAGAGAAAATAGACTAAACAAATAATATGGTTGAATATAGTTTTGAATGACCAGTGGCTTGTTAAAAAGATAGGGATTAATTTTCTATGATGAAGTAAACTAAAAAAAAAGTAGAATGAGGATTGTCTGGAAGGAGGAAAAGAACCTAGAGGTCTGGGCAGAGAAAGATAGACATGAGTATTATTGGAGTACATTGTATACATATCTAGAAACAAGACAATGATACCTCTTTGGGTGTGAATAGTATTCAATTGTATACGTATATAAAAACAACATAGTACACCTTAGTTTATATAATTAATGTATGTTAAATTTAGAAGTCATATATGACATCGAGTAAGATAAAGGAAATGGATATTATTTTGGTAAATTATGTAATGTTTTCCTGTAAGGGGTACTGTTTTTCCGCCCGCCGCCCGATCTTGTCCTGCTACCGTGCCAGCCCCAAATAATACACAGAGACTCTGTATTTGGTACAATACTGTTGGCTCGGTTACTTGTTTCTTATCGGATAGCTCTGCCTTTAATTATTAACCCATTTCTGCTGATCTATGTATTTTCACATGGCCTTCTCTTACCAGGGAGGCGGTTGGCGTCCAGCTCTCTCCAGACTCTCCATCTTGACTCCTCCTTACTATTTCCTATTTCCTCCTTGTCTCCTAGTCCCTCCTATCTTCCTTTCCTATTGGCCAACAGTGCTTTATATTAACCAGTATGAGAAACATATATCATAATGGCATCTCCATCATTTTCCTAGCTTTGTCAGTTTTGAAAAAAAAATTATTAAAATGCAAATAGATGGCTAAAGCATAATAGGAATGGGGGGAGGATTTATCCTTCTGGTGGGAAGGAAGATAGTCCAATTTTTGCATATTAATTTGTTTTAATGTCATTTCAGAATTCCAGGAAATGAATACCCTGAGCAAGGTCTGTCCAGAAACCAAAGCAAGACATGTGTGGCAAGTTGCACTCGACAGTGATACATCAAAGGAGTTGACTGGAATAGGGAAGGCATTCAATGTGAGTGCACACCATGTTTCAAATCAGAATATAAAGAATGAGAACCCACTAGGAATGTGTCCTAGAAAGCTTATTCTGTGGAAGAATGCATATTTTCATAGTGGTGCTGATGAGCTAGAAGTTCAACCTGATGATCTTAATGGAACTGTAAAATCCGTCAGACATCCAGAGCATGTTAGTCTATACAAGTCTCAAAGTTCACAAAGTTATTTTCAAAGTCTTATACCAGGGAGGTCCTTCAGCACAAAAGGAGTATTACTGACTCATAAGTTCAGTGAATATGCAAGATCTTTAGGTGATGCAGCATTTATTGGAAAGCAGATGGCTCAGATAAGGGGGAAATCTTTTGAATGTAATATAGCAGAGATAAAGTGTGACAAGTCTGACCTTGATGAAAATGAGCAAATACATCCTGGAGAGAAACATTACAAATGTAATGACTTTGATAACCCTTTCATTACTGAATCATACCTTCCAAAACATAAAGGACAGCATGCAGGAGAAAAACTCTTTGCCCAGGGGGAATATGAGTTTTCTCAGCAGTCAGAAGTGAGTCTCCATCAGAAAATCCACAGAGGGAAAAAGTCCTATGAATGTAAAGTATGTGGAAAGTGCTTTCATTGGAAGACGAGCTTCAACAGACATCATAGTACTCACACTGGTGAGAAGCCCTATGAATGTACGGAATGTAGTAAAGCTTTTTGCCAAAAGTCACACCTCACTCAGCATCAGAGAGTTCATACAGGTGAGAGACCATATATATGTTTAGAATGCAGGAAAGCTTTCTATCGTAAGTCAGAGCTCACTGACCATCAGAGAATTCATACAGGTGAGAAGCCTTATGAATGTAAGGAATGTGGGAAAGCTTTTTGCCAAAAGCCCCAACTCACTCTACATCAGAGAATTCATACAGGTGAGAAGCCCTATGAGTGTACAGAATGTGGGAAAGCCTTCTCCACCAAGTCCTATTTAACTGTACATCAGAGAACTCACACAGGTGAGAAACCTTATGAATGTACAGTATGCAGGAAGTCATTTATCTGTAAGTCAAGTTTCAGTCATCATTGGAGAACTCATACTGGTGAAAAGCCCTATGAATGCAAGCAATGTATGAAGACATTCTACCGCAAGTCAGGCCTGACTCGACACCAGAGAACTCACACAGGTGACAAACCCTATGAATGTCAATTATGTGAGAAAGCTTTTTACTGCACTTCACACCTCACTGTACATCAGAGAACTCATACAGGTGAGAAACCCTATGAATGTAAGGAATGTAGGAAATCTTTCTATGATAAGTCAAACCTTAGACGGCATCAGAAGATTCACACTATGGAGAAAGTCTGTGAATGCAAACAATGCAACAAATCTTTACTGAGTAATACTTCTCAACATCAGACAGCGTACTATGAATATGAAGAATGCAAGAAAGCTTTGCACCATAAAACAAACTTCACTTAGACATCTAACACTTGTTACAGGTACAGGAACCTGTGAATGTAAACATTCAGGAACAGCAAGTCAGATCTTACTGTACATAGGAATACCTACATGAGAAATTAAACCTTATGAATAAACAGTTAAGGAAAATCTTGACTTATGCTTTTTTATCAAAGAACTCACAATTCACTGACATGTAATTTAGCTAGGTACATTAGTGATTGTTTTAACCCAACATAAGTCAGATGTTTATGGTGGAGGGTCATTTGTTCTCAAGCAACAGAGGATGACACCATGACTTATAAAAAAAGCAAAGCTTTCTTCTTGAAGTTCTCTTGACATGCTATCAGAATTTGGTGTGAAACCTATGAAGGTGAAGAATTGCCCCAAACAGAACAGAGTTTAGAACTCATTGCTTGTTGTCTCTATACTTGGGAGGGCGAGGAAGGAAGATCAGGAGTTATAGTCTAATCTTGGTTACAGAGTGAGTTGAAACCCAGCCTATGTTACATGAGACCTTAAAGCAACAACAAAACAACAACAAACCCCCAAGAAATAAGTAAAAATACAAACATTTGAGAATCTAATGGTGTCATAAACCCTATACGTGACAAAGGACAAGAATACAATTGGGAGGAAATGTTGTCATACCTCCCTTCCAGTTGACTATGCTATAGGAGTTCTAGTCATGTAGGTTTGGAAAAAATGAGTGGAATTATGGGAATCATGTTACTGGGCATCACTTCACTCATAAAAGCAAGTCTACTTGAATTTGAGCAGTTAGGAGGGCTCAGTGACAGAGTGCTTGGCCACTATAAATGTTACCCATCTTTCATACAGTTTACCTTTTATCACCTTATATTTATTTGTGTAGGCATTCCATATCATATATGTCAAGATCAGAGGACAAACTCTCCAAAGTTAGTGGATCCTTACTAGAAAACTCAGGTTGTCAGGCTTGGCAGCAAGGGTCTTTATCCTCCCTCTGAACTATCTCCTGCCCCTGTATTTCATACTCAAAATTTCTGTAAAATAAAAGCAGTTCTGGAGATACTTCAGTCAGTTCATAAAGGACATTTCTTTGATTATTTTTAGTGAAATCTTCCTAACTTTTCAACTTGTAGAAAAAGGTCTTGTTACAAACACCCCAACTCATATCAAAGTCCAGCTCTTCCTGCCTTGTGAGTACTTAGATTACATGTATGTGCTACTGTGCTTAGCATAAAATTTTAAGGCTTAAAAAAAATTAAGAATGAAAACTTCTGGAGCTTTTTTTGGCTGCTGTCTGTGTGGTCTAAATGCTTCATCACCATGTTATAAAACATTTGAACAAATGAAAGATTTGATGGCTTGGTGAAAGGATGCCAAATCTGTCAAAATCAAGAAAAATGAGGGTAACCTGAAGTTCAAAGTAAACTGCAGCAGACATGTATACCTTGATAATTGTGTTCAGTTGTGTACAAGCAGGATGGTCATCTCCAGTCAGCGTAAATTGACCTCCAACCTGGGGCACTTGTGGTTGACATAAATGAAAGCTTATTAGTTGATACTCAAATCTAGTGAACAGGCTTGAACACACATCTCAGATATTAGTATGTCCTATATTAATATATTTTGTTTTAGAAATCTGAATTGAAGGCACTCAGCATAAGTAGAGAGAATTTGTTACATGTGTAACAGATACAGTTGGAGACTACTTAAGAGGTAGGATGCATGCCTTTTGATGTATATGGTTTTGATTGCAATTCAGACCTTCATAGCATTGAAGTGCTCTGGTTGTATTATTTAACCTGGTATTATTGTGGGCAACTATCTGACAGAACCAATTTAAGGGTGTGCATATTTACTTAGATTCTAATTTCATGTAGTTAATAGTTACTTGACCCTCAGACCATGTAGATCATGGTTGGCAGAAGTGCTTTCTAACCTCTAGATAGGAAATAGCAAGGAAGTGGCTGATTATCAAGCTTATTATTTAAAGATACCTAACTGTGACACTGTGACATGTATTAAAAGGAAAAAAAAAAAAAAGCCCCTTCCTGAAGTTTATATCATCTCTAAAGTATTGCCACAATCTGAGAGCCAAATATGCAACACAGAAGTCTTTGGGCAACATTTCAGATTCAAATCAGAATGTACAGTTTTCATATTAAACAGCTACCCCATTTATATTTTGTTAAATATATCCTGTTCATATAAAGTTGTATGAATATTTTTATAAAACTATTTATTCAGACTGAAACTGAAGCACTATCCACTGCTCTGAGAGGGCAGCCACTAATGTATTTACAATATTTAACCGACACAGAACCTGCTGTTGTATCTTATATCGACAGTTCATGTTGAAATGCAGAAATCTGGTACACAATTGTTTATAATTGATGTCTGAATTAAAGCATTTTTGGTCAACAATTCTCGTTTCATTTTTTTTCCGCATTTTTAGTTAAAATAATTATATTGCATGCAAGTGAGAGAGAAGGAAAGAGGGAGGGAGGGAAGGAAGGAGGGAGAGGGAACTGGGATCGATATGTAAAATAAAAATAATAAAATAAATTAATATAAAAAATAATTATATTGCATACCCCACTTCCCTTTCCTTCCTCTAGGGGGTGATTCTCTTCTAAACCACATTTATTTTGTTTTTTAAATCTTAAATATAATGATCAGGTTGAAGGTTGGTTAATTGCAAAAATCCTTACGCCTACATAACCTCCCCAAAAGAGCACTCCTGGCTGTTGTAGAATGTTATTTTAACCAGGCAAAGATGCATTACATTTGTTTATACTGCAGGATATTACTTTAACTGTGCAAAGGAGTGCTACTTTTGTTTATGCTGCATTTTTTTTAATTATGAAAAGGTGTGTTACATTTGTTTCATTTTGCCTGCCTAACACACCTGATTGGTCTAATAAAGAGCTGAATGGCCAATAGCTAGCCTGGAGAAAGTATAGGCAGGGCTAGCAGGCATAGAGAATAAATAGGAGGAGAAATAAAGGCTTGAGAGAAGACAGGAAGAACGAGGGAAGAGGGAGGAGTGAGAAAAAGGAGGATGCCTGTGGCATGCCACACAGCCAGCCATGGAGTAAGAAGGAAAGGATGGTATTTAGAACAAAGAAAGACTAATAGCCCAGAGGCAAAACATAGTTAAAGAGAAATGATATAATTTAAGTTAAAAAAGATGGCTAGAAACAAGCCAAGCTAAGGCTGAGCAATTATAAGTAAACAGAAAATAATAAGTCTCTGTATTATTTGGTAGCTGGGTGGCAGGCCTCCACAGAGAAAAACAAAAAACAAAACCAATAACACCTGGCTCCTCTCCAGAGTGGTGGGTCACCAGTGGCGGGTAAAGATGGAGGTTTCTGTCCTGCCAGGTTCCGCCCGCCGCGCATCAGCTCCAAATAAACAAACACACGGACACTGTATTTATAAAACTTTGGGTGAGGCTTAGGCTTCTTATTGGCTAGTTCTGCCTTAATAACCTATTTCTATTAATTCTTGTATTGCCACAAGGTTGTGGTTTACCCTTAATCTGGCATGTTACTCCTTGGGCAGCATGGTACCTCCTTGAGCAGGCCTCTCTCTGCCTCTATTCCCAGCATTCTTCTCATCTCCTAGCCCTGCCTATCTTCTTGTCTCTACTGGCCAATCTGTGTTTTATTCATCAAGCAATAAAGAAACATGTACAGAGAAATATCCCCTATCAGGTAGGCTTTACTTATGCATTGTTTTGTGAGAGGCCTTCTCATGAAGACTTTCTAGTGTTCATTTACATACCTATTTTTTATTTACATACCAACCCCAGTTTCTCCTCCCTCCCCTTCTCCTATCCCCCTCTCTGCCTCCTTCCCCTTCCCACTCCATATCCACTCCTCAAAAAGGGAAAGGCCTTCCTTAGGAAGTTAGCAAAGTCTGGTATACCAAGTTGAGGCAGGACTAAGTGCCTCCCCCCTGTTTCAAGGCTGAGCAACGTGTCCCACCACAGGGAATGGGCTCCAAAAAACCAGTTCATGTCCCTGGGATAGATTCTGGTCACTGCCAGGGCACCCCTCAACAGATCAAGTTACACAGTTTTCACCCACATTCACAGGTCCTAGTTAAGTCCCATGTAGGTTCACCAGCTGTCTTTCCATAGTTCACGAACTCCCACTATTTTGGGTCATCTGTCTCTGTGGTTTTCTCTATCATGTTCTTGACTTCTCTCATTCATATGATCCCTCCTCCAGCTCTTTAACTGAACTCCAGAACCTCAGTCCAGTGCTTGATTGTGGGTCACTGCATCTGCTTCCATCAGTTACTAGATGTAGGTTCGTTCTATGATGACAATTAGAGTAGTCTCTAATCTGATTAAAGGGGAAGGCCAGTTCACACACCCTCTCCATTATTGCTAGGAGTCTTAGCTGTGGTTATCCTTGTGGATTCCTGAGAATTTCCCTAGCACCAGGTTTTTCCCTAATCCTATAATGCCTCCCTCTACCAAGATATCTCTTTCATTGCTCTCCCCCTCCAATCCTCCCCCAACTTGGTCTTTTTGATCCCACATGTTTCCATCTCCCATTCTCTCCTTTCTACCCCCTCTCAGTTTATCCTGGAGATCTTAACTATTTTCCCTTCCTGGAGCTCTCCTTGTGTGTCCCTCTTAGGGTCCCCTCTTTTTACCTAGCTTCTTTGGGGCTGTGGATTGTAGCCTGGTTATCCTTTGCTTTATATCTAATATCCACTTACATAAAATTTCTCTCTACTTTCTTTTTCTTCTTCCTTCTTTCTTTTTTAATTATTATTCTTTTATTTTACATGTCGATCCCAGTTCCCTCTCCTTCCCTGCCTATCTCCCTCCCTCCCTCTTACCCTTTCTCCCCCCTCACTTGCATCCTGACCTCCCTCCCCTCCCATCCCCCCACACCATTCCACATGTAGGGCAATGCCATCCAGGTGGGGTCATGTAAATCTGTCAAGTCATTTGAAGTAGGGACTAGGGCTTCTCTCCTGTCTCTAGGTTAAGGCAGTTAGTTATCCCTCCATGGGGGATGTGTCCGCAAGGTCCTTTTGTGCACCAGGAATACATCCTGGTTCCACTGTCTGAGGTCCCTTAGACTGCTCAGTCCTTCTAGCTGAGACCCAAATTATCCACATCCATGCAACAAAGACATGTGCTCAACTATGTTCATAGCAGCATTATTGGTAATAGCAAGAACCTGGAAGTAACCTAGATGCCCCTTAACTGAAGAATGGATAAAGAAGATGTGACACATCTACACAATGGAATACTACTCTGCAGAAAAAAATAATGGAATCTTGAAATTCACAGGCAAGTGGATGGATATTGAAGAAACCATCCTGAATGAGGTAACCCTTTCTTTCTTTTTCTTTTTTTTTTTTTTTAATTTTGAGCCAGAGTTTCTCTGTGTAGCATTGGAGCCTGACCTAGAATTTGCTCTGTAGACCAGGCTGGCCTGGAACTCACAGAGATCCACCTGCCTGCCTCTGCCTCCTGAGTGCTGGGATTAAAGGCATGATGCATCACTACTGCTTGGCTAAGAATCAGATTATTTACTTGGATCTAACTTGAAAGCTTCCTTTTGCAGTTTAGCTTCCATGGTACCAGACAGTACTATGCTGCCAAGGGAGGGAAGCAATTATTAGTCCTATCCAGTTGTGATGCTCATGAACCATGATGATGACTAGCATGGCAAGATATCCCTGCAAGTGAAATAGGAGCACTCACAACTTAGTGGTAACCAAGAACCAAGTTGGCTTAAGTCCTACTCTACAGGAGTAGTGTTTGGTACTAGAAATCTAGCTAACTACCTACTGCTACTTTACTAGACCAATATACTTCAGCTAATATAGTTAATGAAATTTAGTCTCTGCAATTATTTTTTTTTGTTCCTAATCCCATCTCTAAATAGGGCAGAGAGGGTAATAATACCATATGATAAAATTTTGTATGGCTAACGAGCATGTGCATTTTTTCTTATTGTTACACTGTTTGAGTATGCTTGCCAGTAAACTAAGAAAATAATGACTTATCAGTTGACTTCCACTTCCATATCACTGTTCACCATAGAAGGAAATCAAAACAGAAACTCACGTAGGGCAAGAACCATAAGGCAAGAGATGATGCAGAGGCCATGGAGGGTTGCTGGTTGCTGGCTTGGTCCCATGGCTTCCACAGTCTGCTTTCTTTTAGAATCCAGGACCACTAGCCCAGAGGTGGCACACATCCATAGTGGTCTGGGACCTCCCATATTAATAACTAATTAAGTAAATGCCTTACAGCTGGCTCTTATGGAGCCATGTTTTTTTCCTTAAAGGTAATTTACATAAAATTTAATTTTTAATTGGGTCAATTGGATATACATATTTATACACTACCAAAATGATTAAAATTTTATAACAAATAAATCAGGTATTATTTAATTGTTTTTAGGAAACAAGTTGCCTACATATTTTTCCTTTTATTGAAAATAGATTATTTTCTTATACAATATATCCTGGTTATAGTTTCCCCTCCTTCTACTCCTTCCAGTTCCTTCCCATTCCCCCCCCTTCTGGATCCATTCCCTTTCTGTCCCCCATTAGAAAAAAAACAGGCTTCTAAGAAATAACAACCAAACATGACAAAATAAAATATAATAAGATAAAGCAAAAACCATGACATCGAGGCTGGGCAAAGCAATCCAACAGAGGAAAAAGAGCCCAAGAGTAGGCACAAGTTCACGTACTCAGTTGTCCCATAAAAATACTAAGCTGAAAGCTATAATATATATGGAGAGGTCCTGGTGCAGACCTCTGTTTTTAATATTTGATTATATTTGTAGCTTTAACCTTTGTATGTGTAAATGTATGTAGTTGTGGTTACAAACCAATTCTGAGTGAAAATTTATTGCAGTTGTTATGGGCATTACTTCACGTGTGGCTTCACTTGGGAGATGGTTCTTTGGTCTCTCTGTATACTGCCTGGGAGATTTTTCTTCATGCCAGCTGAAAATATCCTCTAGGTGACCCTGCTTTCTGCCTCTGTACAGTGCCTTCTCTTTTGGTGCTCCTAGACTCTTATGTTTAAATGTGGTGAGAGAATAATCACTTCTCAGAGACAGAGGCATCAAGGCATGGACACAGCACTCTTCTTATTCTCTTGTCAGTGCAGGAGCTAGCTTTCCAGAACACTTACATTGTACCTACCATTAGCACCCACTGAAGCTGTATGCATATGGCTGCATCACCACTCTGTCATTCTATGGAGACATGTATGAGGTGATTGCACTAAGGGCAGGAAACTCAGCAGCTAGTCTATGACTGAAACATTTCAGAAAGTAGAAGCAGAAATTGCAGACTTTTAACACTGGGAAGGTATGGAGTAGGAGATAGGCTGTGAGTATCCAAAAAATTTCAAAGGCACAAGGTAGGAGATT